CACACTAGAAACACGCAGTCATCTGCAGCGTAAATTAAAACGTATTTACAGCTTGAAGAGAAATTTAAACACCGCAACACAACCGTTCAAAAGCTTTCGCTAAACATTCAAAAATGGTTTGGAGGGCCTCCAGCTTGATACAAAGTTTGTTGCCGCTTAGCATAATAAGTTTTGAACATGAAAAAACACTTCTGAAATACGCAATTTTCAATACATTTTTATGATTTCTGCAATTTACGCAGTAGAATTTTTTGAAACGCTTCACGAACACAAGCCTAACAAGACCATCAAAGAAAAAATATGACAAGTCTTTCCCCGAGCCGTAGATCTCCGAATTCCGCTTCACCAAAGCTGGCTGTGATATGACCATTTTACAGCAAATCACACCACCTTTGGCGAAATGGAAAACCATTGCTTCGAAGTCGGTAAAAAACGGCTAAGTAATACGTACCTGCGTGACTGAAACAAGTTTCTTTGCGGGAAAACTTTTAAAACAACCTATCTGACATGGCGCGGATTATTTTCGCCGCACAAACCTGCGAATCCTAGCAAACAAAGAAATTGTCATAAAGCCTGTAAACAGTACTTAATCAAAAATAATTTCTTCGACAGAATCCCCAAATCGGTCATTCCCTAATCGCAAAGCAATCAAACCTGCTCGGCTGAAACTAAATTATGTATTTATCTCACCAGAAAAGTAAAATAAAATATCTATATCGAAAATAAATTTTCGTTTCTGGATAAATTTGAATCTTAAACTGGGAACAATGAATGTTGCTACATTTGCTCTGATCATGCTATATACTACGCAGTGCCACTGCATGATTTTAAAACAAAAATAAACGTAAACCGAAATCAATGATGCGTATTTATTTAGTAAAAGTCTAAGCCTACGCTGGAAAAACAACGAAAATGGTAAAACTAAAAAACATTAAATTAAAAATTTGGTCTAAATGATCAATTTTATGAATACAGAAGCGGATAATAATAATCGCTATGCACGATCATGTATTAATTACGAAAGGCATTCATAAATTTTTTTCATTCTATACTTGAATTAGTTTTAATTAAGCATTAACTTGTCATGAAATATGCATTGTTGATCGGCGAATAAAGGAAAATTAGCTTTGAAATTGATTAGCTGGTTGTCTGTCCAGATGCAATCGGCTTCGTCAGATTAATCAAAAGCATCTGTCGAATCTGTTTCGCATGATGAGAAGTTAACAGTCTTTGGGTGTTCTATTGCCTTCTTGTCTTTGGAATGTTAGCAGTTTATCCTGTACGCATATTCAGACGTACTTTTAACAGATTTGCTAGATGAAAATTACATTCAGTTATCCTGCGTTGTTACAAAATTTTGGAACACTTCTTTATTCCGAATCAATTGCCCAACAGCTCTTGCTTAAGTATCAAAAAGGTGGAGCGCGTGGAGAATCGCTTACACAGGTCGTATGCGATTCAACACCCGTTGACCAATTCGATGACAAATTTTTACCAGCAAAATGGAGTTTCTGCAACTGTTAAATAGCAATGTGCTGAACTTGAAAAGTCAGAGAGTTGTTAAAACCTTTACCGTTCGCTCGCTTGTGTTATACTCGCTTAAGATTGATTGAAATGCGTTAATTCTGTGAAATCGTTTAATCTACGCCAAACGTCATAT